AGGAGGAAAAATGAATAGGAAAACATCTGAAGAGAGAACTGATTTTCTGGTGCTGACTATGGGAAGCCACTGTTTATGTTAGTGAGACAGCACAGCATTAAGCTGCCATAAGCAGGGAGGGGCCTTTATTCAGGAAACTTCAGCCTTTATTCAGTAATAAAACAAAGAAATAAGATTTATTAACGTGACATCTCCCACTGAACCTCTGCAGAGTAGATATTTACAGGAAATTGTAAAAGTGAATCCTGGTATTCACTTTTCTTCAGAAATTCACTACTGAAAATAAACACCCTAATGGCTTTATCCTTGGTAGAAAACATTTTTAAATAAGTAGAGTCTTGAATTTATAAGGCTTTATTTTTTAATCATTTGGTACGCTAGACACACGCCTTGTGCAGCACTGGGCTTGGTCTGCTCCCGGACCCTCCGTGCAGCGCCCCCTGCACCGAGCTCCCAGCCTTGTGCCGGGGGTTGGGGACCTGAGCTGCCCGAGCGCTTCAAAGATCCTGCTCTGTGCACCATGTCTCTGGCCACACACCAGAGATTGCAGACCTTAGCTGCCTCATGCAGCTCCCAGGTTCTGGATGCCATGCGCTGTGCTGTGCACCGAGAGCCTAGCCGCTGGAGCTGTCCGCTTTTCCCCGCCAATGGAAGTCTTCAGGGGCACTTCCGGGCTACTGCTTTGCCCTGTTGAGCAGCTCTCCTCAGCTCTTCTAAGCCCCACTCTTCTCTCTTCTCCATCCCTGACATGTCTCCCTTGTGCTGGGCATGCAGCTCCTTTTATACTCTTCAGGGCTCCGCCCCTGAAGTCTTCTGAACCTGACAGTCTACAATCAGGTCCAGGGGGAACTCCTCTCCCCCTCCCCTCAGGAAAGGGGCATGACTTCACTCCTCTTGCTACCTCCTGATTGGTGGATGGGTTCCACCAATCAAAACAGCAGAATCTCAAGCCTAAGACTCAACCCAACCTCTGAAAGGTAAGCCTGCTACAAATGTAATGCAAATGCTGGAAAAGATTTTGAACCTACTTATAGGGCAGGGCTAGCTTAAACATATTCCATGGGTACGAGCTCTGAGAGTGAGTCAAGTCATTACTTTGGAGTCTTAGCTTACTCTTTTTTTTCTATTTTAATGGACATTTTTAGACCTTATGATTTCAAAGTAAATCTTGAAAAAATTATCTGAGTGCAAGTGAAGCAGTGATATCCACCCAGATTTGCAGAGTGCCTTAAACAACATCTCTAAGGTGTATAAAATATTCCATTCATCACAACAATGTCTTAACGCTTCCTGCTATCTTGGAGGTCTACACTAATAACACACCAGCAGTACACTTTGGATGTGTGGCAGGAGAAGAAATCACTGTTGGTTCAGCCTACCCACCAAAGCAGGTGCACCCTGGGTACTGAAGTATACACTCCCTGTTGCTATTTCTGTTCCTCTGGGGAAGGAGGGCTCTGCTTCTGAAGGGAGATGGAGCCCCTGTTGCCATCCTGGCAGTAGAAGGGGTCTCATTCTACAGTGCTTTCCAGGTGGGAAGGAAGATCCGTCTGTCACTGCCTTTCCAGGTAGAAGGCAGGCTCACAGAGAGCACATTGTGATGTTTTCTAGGGCATCACTGCCTTAATTCAGGTCTGGTCTATTCACATTTTTAAATGAACCCTGACAAACTAACATAAAGTAACAAGACTTTCCCAGGTTAGCCAGTCCAAGGAGCCTTCTCCTTCTCAGACCCTGCACAAGGATCATAGTCCCCTAAAATCCCTGCACTTGGGGTGCATGAGGGACCTTCCCTTCATACAAAAAAGGGAAGTGGACAAACTTTAGAGAAGGGATAGAGGAGAATGAGTCCTGGCTTTAGTGAAATGCCTGACTGCTGTAAGAGATGAGGTAGCTTGACCAGTGCCCTGTCTGGTAGGACATTTGTGACTGTACTTTCTAAGGTATGATCCTGGCCCAGAGTTCCCCTGGAGCAGTGCAGATCTGCACTGCTATCTGCTCAAGGCTATGACTCTAATGCTTAAATCTAGCTTTAAAGCACAATCCTCTTAGCTCCCATGGTTCTGTAGGAAGGCACATCTTTTTGCCAGCAGCCCTGAATAGTCCAGGTGGCACATAGAGCTCGCCATTGCCTGACTTTAAAATGATAAAATAAGGAGGAAAAATGAATAGGAAAACATCTGAAGAGAGAACTGATTTTCTGGTGCTGACTATGGGAAGCCACTGTTTATGTTAGTGAGACAGCACAGCATTAAGCTGCCATAAGCAGGGAGGGGCCTTTATTCAGGAAACTTCAGCCTTTATTCAGTAATAAAACAAAGAAATAAGATTTATTAACGTGACATCTCCCACTGAACCTCTGCAGAGTAGATATTTACAGGAAATTGTAAAAGTGAATCCTGGTATTCACTTTTCTTCAGAAATTCACTACTGAAAATAAACACCCTAATGGCTTTATCCTTGGTAGAAAACATTTTTAAATAAGTAGAGTCTTGAATTTATAAGGCTTTATTTTTTAATCATTTGGTACGCTAGACACACTGATATTTATCAGGGGTTTATCTGCTAAAAGCACTGTAGGTTTTAAAGTAATCTAATTCAGACCATCCTTCTTTAATAAACCTAAAGGCTAAGGAGAGACATTAAAAAAGCCTGTGCCTGAATTGATTCAATCTTTGCAGGTTAGTCTAACCTGGCTAGGCTAAATCACTTTGTAACTGTTCAGACATCCCCCCTAGACTGAAAAAATGCTGGCAAATGCCTGCAGTGGCTCTGGCTAGAAGCTGGAGGGTGCTAGAACAGCCCACCCTCTCTTTCACAGGGCTGAGCTGAGGTGTGTGTGGCCAGGCCCTGGAAGGATGCTGTGATTAGGAAGCCACCCCCCCACTTCCCCCTTGATAACAGAGCATTTATCAGATCTCTTATCAGCATTTAGCACCCCATCAGAAAACAATGCCTTGCTCATTAGTTCAAGCTCTTCTTAAACAGCTTTTTTCAAAGGAAGGAATGGAGGGATATTACCAGCTGAGCTGTTGATTAGCTCTGAAAAACCCTAAGCCTGTCCTATCTGCCTTACACAGCATTAGCTAGCATACCACATGCTGGCTATGGTCCATGCTGTGGGAGAGAGGAGGAAGGGATCTCTGCTTAAGCAGTGAGTGGTGAGAGGGGGGCAGGGGGAGGGGTGCATAGGGAAGCCAGCAGACCCTACAGTGCCTGTAAATCTGTGCCAGAGCTACAGCCAGGGAGCAGAGGGAGGAGCTAGTCCTTCTGTGGAGCAGAGAGCCCCGCCCAGCCCAGAGAGCATGCTGGGATGCTGGGGGAGTCTGATTTAACTTAACCCAGCAAGGGTTTGGAACAGACATTGCATAAACTGGTTTGACCAAATCAGCTAAGTCTGATACTACATTCAGCCAGGTTTATCTCAAACTGGTTTCAGCTATTTTCAAACGGGTTAATGTGCACTGAATGTCTGTTCTGTTACAGGTTTAAACCAGTTTCTGATCACTTAAATTGGTTTATGTGTAATGTCTGTCCCTAGCCAAAGGGCCTCAGAGAAGAAAACATCACTCTTGAGCCTTTGTAGTATAACTCTCTTTTCTTTGTTTAAGAATTCAAGAGAGGTTTGGTATGAAAAGCAGACCTGCCGAAGGAATGAGATCTGCAGATGAAATTCTCTGTTGACCAGGAGGCAAGCATACAGGTTTATGTGGTACTCTAAGGCCCTTCCTTCACATTCAAATTCAAGCTAGATAGAAACCAGCTATAGAGCTTTTTCACATTTTCAAGCACTAACTTTATAGTTGGTTGGCTATTTTTATAGCTGGAGAGTCATTTTTTATTGTGTGATAATTACTTCACATATGTAGCTGGTCTGAATTTATTGCATGATTAACCAGTTAATTGTGTTGTCATCATGTTCTCATGTCCTGTCTGAGATAGTTTATGACAGGTGTTTAGAAGAAGTCACAGATTCATTGGGTTCTGACAGGGCAGAAAAATGAGTGCTTCTGCTATGGCCATTAATTGCATAGTATATGTAATGTGTAGCAGGGGCCTAAGGGCTGAACTGGGATTTCAGTGACACTTAGGCTTGATGTGGGATTTCACTTTACCTCAATTCTATCTCAGAGAAAATTCTTCCAAGGGAATTATGGTATAGCCTTGTTGTGAGGTAGACATCTTCTCATAGAGTCTAGATTCACTTCTGTTTGAACTGAATCCTCCCTGCACCTGAGAGAGAGACTCACCCTAGGGCAGGACAGGCAGCACTTCCACTCTCTGTGAAGATCTTTTTAAGGATGCCATTGAGTACTGTGCAATATTAGTGCTGTTAGGTTACACCTATCAACCTAAGATGAGCCCAGAAATTTCTGGGAATGGGAGATGCCGGTTAATCAAATAATCTGGTTGATCAAATGTGCACCATCTGGTGCACTCCCCGGCATCAGTGTGCCAGGGGACAGGGAGGGGGGCCCCACACAGGTTGCTTTGCCCTGTGCAGGCTGCTTTACCCTGGGCAGTGGGCCGAGGAAGTGGCAAAGAAAAACTCAGCTTGCAGTGGCAAAATGGGAAGTCCCCCGGAAGTGGTACTTCCGGTTTCGCTTTTGCTGCATCCCTCAGATGCCAGTTAATAGAGTTTTACGGCTAATGAAGTGCCAGTTAACACAGCTTTTGCTGTATTTGGTGAGGTACATAAGTAATACTGTTCTTTCCAGGTGAAAAAATTCTGAATTAAAATGTAATAAAAATACTTTAATTAGAAAAACAATCTGTGTTTTTATGATGACTTCATTGAAGATAAGATAAAAACGTACAACTTTCCTTGGGATCCTTAAGCTGCGTATCTATTCATTTTATTTTTTTTAATTAAGTTACCAGTTTGCACTGAGAGATTAATGGATCTTCTCATCTGCCCTAAACTATTCATAGACTAAAGTAGGCCAGGTTCTTTTATTGGCATCAAACAGGATAAAATGGGACTAGGAACATGCTCTTACCTCTTGCCAGTCTGCAGGGTACCAGGATGGTGGACAGTCAAAACGATTGCAGGCTTGTACTAGGCTGGGCTTGGGTTTATGGCACAGCTCATCTGCCAAAATCACTGTCTCATTTGTGTCTCTTGAGAGTAGGTGAGAACAGAAGACATCTCGAGTCTGCAATCCAACTCCACAGGTGAGACTACAGGTGCTCCATTTTCCAATCTCCCATCTGAGAAGAGATCAGGAAAAGATCCTTGAACATATAATGAAAACAATGTGACCAATCACTCATTCCAACAACAGATGGAGTAGGGAATCGATAATGGCACCCAGAAGCTTCACTTTCAGATCAGTTAGAATTAATTTGCTCATCTTTTCCCCCAGCACCCTGATGCCTGAATTTGGGAAGCTAAGGAAAACCACTGACTGGTTATTGTTATTTTGTATTTAAAACTCAAATCAAATTCAAATCCCTAAACATCCTGCTGTATCAGGGAAAAATATATACCTTGTAACTCAAGGTTATTGCTAGCTTCAGTACTGACAAATGTGCTGCAAGACTGAAAATGCTCACATAGATTGATTCCTTCCTGAAAGGGCAGAAAAGAATCGTCAAGTAACCATTTCATCAGGGACTGATGCCAGTGTAAACCCTATGATGGCTCCTTGGGGAAGATTTTCTAGAAGGGCATCCTGCTGTGGTTCTCTTGAGTGTTTTTTTGTCACTGGGAGAGTAGTGGATGCCAGGGCCTCAATGAATTCCTGTAGGGTTGTGGCAAGCTCTCTCCCAGTCACTGGCTGGATGCCTACGGCTAAGCCATACTCTTCCTTACCTATGTGGCCTCTGGATCATCAGTCACAGTAGGTGCCAATATAAACCTAGGTTGAATTTAGCCTTTAAAAATAATGTGAATTTCATCACATTGGAAACAAAGCCTTCTGGGGACTGGGGGCCCAACTGTCTTTCTCTGAATTAGTTCAGAGAACTGAGATCACTGAAAACATGTTCTAACATTGAAAACGATATACAGATCCCAGTTTAGGCAGCTGACCCCATTCCTCATACGCCAACGAAAGCCAGCAGCAGCCTTAAGAGATGCAAACACACACGTGCACACATAGGGTGTGTACTGACATTACTTCTGTTGCCATTTAAAGGGCTTTATTGCCGTGACTTAACAGAAGTGAATGAGTTGACAGCACTTTAAAAATGGGTACCATGTTTTAAATTAAAGCTTGTTAAATGAGGTATTAAATTTGAAGTATGGTATTTTACATCACTTTAGCAACCTATAGCACTTTAAATAACTTCTGTGCACTGGTCAAATTTTTGACCAGTGGAGAAGCCCCAGGAGGCTTCAGAGTGCCCCCCCCCACCCCCGCTTCCTAGCCTGGAAAGTATAGGGAGGCTCAGAGTGCCCTCCATTCCAAAACACTGCACTTCTGTCATGCTTAAGGGCACTGTAACTTTATAGTGCTATAAAAAGTGTTCTAAACCAGGGGTTTTCAACCCTTTTGGATCAGTGTACCCCCGGCGGCTGGACACAGAGCAGTGTACCCCCAGCAGCTGGATGCAGGGTGGGGGGATGGCATGTGGCCAAATGCAAAATGGGGGGTGGAAGCAGCATGGGATGGTGCATGGCAGTGCACCCACGCGTATCCCCTAGGGCCTTCTCAAGTACCTCTGGGGGTATGCGTACCCCTGGTTGACAACCCCTGCTCTAAATTACAGCACTGTAAAACATGCATGGAGCACTTCTGTACACATCCCTAAACATTAAAAATGAATCTTATATGAAGGCCAGAGCCCCAAAACAATATGGCTAGACTTGAACTCCCCTACATAAAAATAGAACACATCAGCTGTGTCTAGACAAGCAGGGGCATGCAGTTTGTGGCACTACAAATCTCTTTGTAGTACCACAAACTTCATGCATGGAAAGTTAAGGTGTACCCTACACTGCAAATTTGGGATAAAGGAAGAAGGAAGGCTAAGAAATGGGGCAGCAAAAATGACTAAAAGCTGTTAGAAGGCAGGAGAGAAAAGGGCCACTTAGGTTCACAGACTGAGATCAGTAGGCAAATAGAAATGGTAGGAGCTCCATTACAGTATACACATTTATAATAAAATAGAACCCTGCATCAAGAAATATACTAGCAAGAACAGTCTTGCTTAGGCACTGAGCTAGTACAGATAAAGTAGCAGATCTTCTCTCCCTCTAACCCCAGTGATAAAATGGGGGTTTATATTTGTTCTCTCTTAATTACTTCCAGATCCAATTGGTTCAGCTTGTTGGCACAGATCTTTTCCTCGCTAAATGATAGGGCTGAACATTCAGCCTGAAATGTAAAAGCCACACTGTGCTGTTTCTGGACCACACTTGTAAATCAGCCTCCGTCTGTTTATACCAGCTGAGGGTGGTGATCATCATCATCATAAGAAAGATCCTACAGGTTGAATTTAGACGAGCATTTGTCAGTGAAATCCAGGCCACTATTTCTAACTAGTTTGACTCTGCATTGCTGGTGACAATAGTAAGAATTTCTTTAATCCAGGATAACAAAGAACACATATTGCATACTGAATAAGTAGGTGCCATTGTCATTTTCCTTACCATAATACTTTAAGGTCCAGTGAGTCTGATAAATGCACCGCTGTGGAAGAAGACTGGTATCTGGCAGCCAGTTAAGCTAATTCAAAGTGCACTTCTCTTATGAATGACCTTGGGGGAGAGGTCTTAAAAGCAGATTTTAATATAAAATTAGAATTAATGTGGATATCAGCTACCCTCTGTGTTTGCCACAACTTAGACTAAGATATTTGAGTTGGGTGCTGAAAGGAAGGCATTTTCCTCTTTAGGGATGTATTTTGATACAGGGCTCATTATATTAGTTGCCAAAGTTTCTTTTCTTCAAGTGTGGGTAATAGCTGTTGCCTCCAGCAACTCATTGTTTGTTATTGGTATAAATGCACAATGTTTCTGTTGGCAGTTCACATCTAAGTAGCTAGTATGGAACAAGAACTCTTCCTAACTCTTGGCTTCTACAGGAGAGGGTGCCTGTTTATTTTCAGAAGAAAAATGTCATTTTTTCAATAATAAGAAAAGACCTGCCTTTGCAGAATTTCGATTTTGGGGTTACAGGTTTGCTCTATTGCCCTATCTGTAGCATTTATGTGCTCACAATCCTCTCCATCTGCTTGATGTGGGAGGTTCCTAGAGGAGCAGCTCAGGAAATATGGGGTCAAATTCATTCTTTCCTTGTTTTTTTTTTAAACATCCCTAGCTTTTATACAGTTTCAGTTAGAGCAGATCTTGGTCCTTAGTTGGGATGCCTGAGTAACCACAAGAAGGTGAAGAAGTGATATGGAAAGTCAGTAGGTTTTATGACCCAAAAGCTTATGCTTTATATATACATATATCTACTTTGGTTAGTTTATAACAGCACGCATTGAGGCCGGGGCCAGGGCTGGGGGTGGGAAGGCAGCAGCTGTTTGCAGCCCTCTGGCTGCAGCTGGCTGCAGCTCTGGGTAGCTGCTGCCAGCTGGGAGCCCAGGCTGCTCCCAGCTGAGAGGCTACAAGTCCTGCTGGGAGCAGCCTGGGCTCTGTGGCTATCAGCAGCTACCCAGAGCCTGGGCTGGCTGCAGCCAGGAGGCTACAAATAGCAGTTGCCTCCCTGCCCCAGCCCCACCCCAATGGGCACAGTGCCGGCACCTGCTGCCTTCACAGAGCCTGGGGCTGCGAGACGGCTGGGGCCAGGGCCAGGGCCAGGGCCAGGGCTAGGGCCAGGGCAGGAGGGCAGCAGCTGTTTGTAGCCTTCCAGCTGCAGCTGGCCCAGGCTCTGGGTAGCTGCTGATAGCCACAGTGTAGTGCTTCTGCGTGGCCCCTCTTTGCGCTGCCACTCCAGGTTGCACACACTGTGCTCCAGAGGGCCCAGGGGAGGATAGCTGGGCTGGGAGCACAGCATGTGTGATCCAGAGCAGCAGCGCACAGAGGGGCCACACAGGGAAGCTGCCTGCTGCTGCAAGCTCCACACTGCCTGGGTCACACTTCCCTTGTGTGCAGGGGAGCAGCGTGGCCACCATGCAGGGTTGTGCCCCTTGCTGCTGCCCCCGCCTGCAGGGGAAGTGTGGTCAGGGCAGCAGGGAGCTCAGAGCAGGCAGCTTTCTGTGACCCCCGCTGTGCCATGCTGCATCAGGTTCTAACGCTGCTCTGGAGAAGCAGCGGTGAGGGCAGCACACCGATCAGCTTGATCACCAATCAAGCATTGCCAATATCTGCTGCCTGCCCGGGTTGGGGCTGGGGCTGGGGCCAGGGCAGAGAGGCAACAGATGCCTGCAGCTGGCTCAGGTTCTGGGTAGTTGCTATAGCCACAGAGCCCAGGCTGGGGGGCAGGGGCTTTGGGTGGGGGGAAGGGGGCAGCAGGGTTGGGGGGCAAGGGGCACAAGCAGGGCATCCTGCCCTGTACCCCCTGCCCTTGTTTTGTTTTTCTGGCCTGCCGGCATTCTGGCACCTTCCAAGGTAGACATTGTGGGGGTTTTTGGCACTCCAGCCAAAAAATGTTGCCTACCCCTGGTCTATAAGGTACAAATCTACCCTGTTTTCCAATGAATAGTTGACAGCAAAGATCATGGACAGCATCACAGAACAGAATTAGCTCTATGTAGGTGGAGCTGGTGTACCACCTAGTACTAAGATTGCCTGATACTTCCCATTTTAAGACTGTTTTTTCAGCTGCTTATAACTTTGCCAAAACTTAATAATATTCATTTCATATAGTGTTTTTCTTTTTGTAGTATTTTTCTATTAAGACTTAAAATCCTGTTTTTTGCTCAGGACCCCTGTCTTTTTCATTCCAGAGGAAGAATCAGGGTTGTGTAAGACCCCTGTTTCATGTGTTGCAAGACTTAGAAGGTATGTAATGGAAGTGGCATAGGCTTGCAAGAAGGGAAATGCTGATCTCTTGGTTAAGGCAACTAAATACTGCCCTGGAAAAATTGATTCTGTCCCAGACTAGCATGTGAGACCAAACAAGCCAAACTTTTCTTAGGTGGTGACTAAGCGTGCATTCCTTAATTTTTGGGCTGTTGGCTCAAAAACCCTGGGGCCCTATCTGCATTAGCACTGAAAATGAATATCTGCAACTGAAACCAATGGAAACAGTGCTTTGAATGCAGATAGTGTACAGTGCTGTGTGTGCTGAAAAATAGGTGACGGGTTGGCTCAGATT